TTTTTCATTCCATTGATTTATTTTATTTATTTTTATTTATTTATTTGATTTGTATCCCACCCATCTGGTCTATACGACCATTCTAGGTGGCTTGATTGATACTGATTTCTAGCAATGAGCCTCACTTTAAATAAAAAAATACCTCTCATGTAAATATAAAGATTTGGTGTTATAGTGTTGGACTCATATTTGAAGAAATGTGTTACACTATAATATGGAGCAATTGAAAGGTTATAGCTGAAAGGTTATTTCTTTGGCTGAAATCCTATTGCCATAACCTGATGACACATAAGGTTGATGATGCTGTCAGCAATGGTGAGTGTTCAGAAATTACACATTCCACCTTATCTTTTTATGGTCCCAAGACTCCCAGGTAATGCCTTTCATCGTTAGGAAGCTATTGGGGGCTATAGGATGGGGGAGGGGAGCCTTCAATTACTGAAAATGAGCAATTTTCAGTAATTAAAACTTCTTCCTTCTACACCATGCACCCCAATGGCTTACTGATGATGAAGGATATTACCAGAAAGCCTTGGGACCTTCAGGAGAAAAGTCAGAAATGCTTAATTTCCAAGCCGTCACTGCTGCTAATGAGAACATCAACCTTACATGGTGCAAGTTACAGCAACAGGATTTCAGGCATTGATTTTGTATCTGTTGATGTGAATGGGAAATTGATATATGCAGATAGATGGGTGCAAGCAGATTGGACTGGTTAATAGCAGGCAACAGATTCCTGCCTCAATTGACTATGTATTTAAATCTAGGAAGTAGTTGTTTATATGTGTTTGTATTTCTGTTCATACTTGCAGTATCTGAAACCACAATATAGGTAAAGATGTCTGAGCCCACAAAATAAGGAAATACACTGTATTCAAGGCAAAAGTCTGTCTCCCTTAATTTCTTTTGGGAAGTGGGATTGTTCCATGTTTGTATTAGGATTTTCATTGTGGATTAATATCATTCAAAACAATCTTCAAGTATGCAGATCTATAAAGTCAAATGTTGTTGTTCTTGAAAGAGAAATCTCCAAAATGTCCTGTTCTCAGCACTCCTGCCCAGCTCTTGTAAGCTAAAACCTGTGGCTTCTTTTGGAATGTCAGTCCATCTCATATTTGGTCTTCCTCTTTTCCTTCCTGCCTTCCACCTTTCCCAGCATTTTTGTCTTTTCCAGAAAGTCCTGCCTTTTCATGATATGCCCAAAGTAGGACAGCCTCAGCTTCATCATTTTTGCCTCCAGAGATAGTTCAGGCTCGGTTTGTTCCAGGAGCCACTTGTTAATCTTTCTGGCAGTCCAGGGTATCTGTCTTTCTGGCAGTCTAGATGTTAGGCACACTGAATACACAGTGTTTGCCCACTATACCTTATTTAGAAAGGAAGACAAATATTTCTGTGGAAAAGAAAAGCACAGAAGCCTTCTCTCTTGTCTAGCAATGAAAGATTCCCTTGGCACTGATCTTTTGCTGGAGGCAGTTTTGGCCATCCAAATTCTGACATGTTTCCTCTCTCAGCATTTGAGGCACTGGGCAGTTTTTTGACAGTTCCGGGTGCCCTGAGTTCTGTAGGTGCTGTTTTGCCTTTGGAGGGATTTCATCTTATCATGCTTTTATTTTGTTGTTGTTGTTGTTGTTGTTGCTGTTGCTGTTGCTGTTGCTGTTGTTGTTTGTTTTGTTTTGTTTTGTTTCTTGTAATTCAGTGGTTTCCATTCATATATTGGCTTCTCAGCCAAGATGTATATAAATCATGTTCATAATTCTGACATATTAATATGCTAGTGTAAAATATGTGTGCAATATGACTATCAGTGCTTTGAATATCTTGCTGTATGGAAGTGGAATCTGCATTAAAATGTTGTAACATAGAGTGTTTATGTTCAAGGTTTTAGGTAGACAGCAGTGCCCAATTCAAGAATGCCCTGTTCATTCCCCTTTCTTACCCTTTTCCAGAATTCCTATCTTTCAGTATTCTGTTCCCATTGAGCATATCCAGTTCTAACTGGCTTGGCCTCCAGGTCTAATTGGAGCTGAGCCTACCCAACTCGGAAACCAATATATGAAAGGAAATCACTGAACAGCAAAAACCACATAAAAGCATGGCAAGATGAAATCCCCTCAAAGGCAAGACAGCAGCTACAGAACTGAGAGGATTTCACTGGCAGCTGTAACTAACCAAATACCGCCTCAGATGCTGAGACCAAGCAGGTCAGAACTCTGCTGACCAAAACAGCTTCCAGCAAAAGGTCACTGCTGGGGGAAAATTTCTGATTGCTGGACAAGAATGTCCTTCCCCACATAGTTGCGAGTTCCCATTCCCACTCCCATTTTCTTTTTTTCTATATTTCTGTAAACCTCAGGCTTCCTTAAAATTTGAAGATATTTTTCTGTTATGAGTGGATTGTGGTTTTTTGGTTACATAATCAATCCTCAGAGAATGAGCCTATTATATCTATAGAATGATCAGTAGATACATCTGTTGTGTGGCAGTTTGGTTTTGTGAAACTGGGAACAATTGACTTGCCACATGCCATACATCTGTCAGCAGATGTAAGCCCATTCTAGACAAACTTTTAGATGATAATGTAAACTAGTTTGATTCTCACACATCTATACCACAAGCAAAATTGATCTCATTTGATATACTTTTCTGATAACATTCTGAAATCATTTCATTCAAATTACAGTGGTGCCTCGCAGGACGATTGCCTCGCGAGACGATTAATCCTCAAGACAATTGTTTTTTGTGATCGCTGTTGCACTTCGCAAGATGATGTTTTCTATGGTTGATTTTTGCAAGATGATGATTTTTCCCCATTGGAACACATTAAATAGATTTCAATGCATTCCAATGGGGAACCGCATTTCGCAAAATGATGTTTTCTATGGATGATTTTTGCAAGACGACAATTTTTCCATTGGAACACATTAAATAGATTGCAGTTCATTCCAATTGGGAACCGCTTTTCGCAAGACAGTGTTCTTCACGGGACGAATTAACATCGTCTTGTGAGGCACCACTGTACATGGAAAAACCTTAGAGGGTTTGTTTTAAAAAAATCAAGTGTTGAGTGAATTTACTTATTTGTTTGCTTGTTTACTTATTTATTTACTTACTTACACAGACAGATAGACAGACAGACAGACAGACACACACACACACACACACACCCCGCCCCATTAGTGTGATGCACCATTCTGGGTGGTTCACAACAAGCAAAATAATTGATGGATAACATCTTTCTCCATCCTTGAGAGAGTTCCAGTTTATTTAGAGTTGGCACTAGGGATACGGTTTAATTTTTTTCAGATTTTGTGTTTCCTGAAGCCACCAATAATTCCAGTGTCTCACATGGAAAAGTCTAACCTACTAAAAATCAGAGTGTGCAAATTCTGGTGGTCGGCATCATGGTTCACAGTCAAACAAAAAAGCATGATTTTTTTAAAAAAATAAATCATAGTATGTTCATTGGTTGGAAGCAAAATATATGGCAGGGACAAAGCCTATCCCAACAATGGCCAAATGCTGTAAATTTGTTGGGATAGATTTTGTTACTCCCATTTCTGTCAACTAAAATCACCACCACTTAGTGGGGTCTGGTGATTCCAATGCCAGAGCGTCAGTGGATCCACCCTGGGTTTGAATCTGAATAGTAATCAAACTATTCAAGGTACTGTGCCTATTTTGAAGATATAGTTCAGCACCTTGAATAGCTCCTGTAAATGTTTCTGACTGAAACCTACAGCAGACTTACTGTCCCTCCCATGGCATCAGTCACCGTCTTCCTCTGACACCAACTTTACATGGCAAGTAGCTGAAACTCAAGGTTGTTCTTTAGAATTCTTTTGTTAACAATATTTCTAGATGCTTACGTTGTAGGTCTGTTTCTGTTGTGGATGCGTGGATGAAAACATCTAACCTGTTGGAGGAGGTTTCAAAACATTAAAAAAAATGGGAGTATGACAGATTTGTCCATCCCCACACTGGGATAGTTGTAACAATATCTTGAGTTGGAGGCAGCATGCAAAGTATAAATGAGAGAATCTCTGGTATAGATTCTGTGTTTATGCCAGCTTTTTAAGCTATTGAGACTAGCTGTTAGCTGATTGTGATGTATCTCAGCCTTACAATTTATCAGGACTTGGAGCCAATATTGGATTCAAATAAACAGCAACTAACCCAGTGAATTTCTGAGTTATACACCATATATTCATGGTGTCATAGAAATAAATCAGTAAATTATATTAATGAAATTGCTGTTGGTGGTGTTATTGATCATTTTATTATATACATGTGTTTAATTTCACACAGTGCATAAAACTAGTAGGGAAAAAAGTAAATTTTAAATGAGGTGAGGAGCTGGCCCTGGGAAGAAAGCTTTTACACACTCAGCAGGGCAAGTGGGATCATGCATACTAGTCCAGTTGCAATCCGCATTGGTGTCAGGGGTGGTGTTCGTGCAGAGGGCTTCTCTATGTGGTTAGGAATGTTGGAGCAATCAGGGTTCTTAGACAAGTGGAGGACCTTTATAAACCAGCACTTAATGCTGAATGTGTGTGTTATTTGGGTCAGGACTGAGAGCAGAATTCTCCTTTCCTGCTCCAATTTCATTGTATGCAAAGTCCAGGTAAGCATATGAGTATACCCTTTATATCTCAACCTAATGTGCATCAAACAATTGTTGCAAATGAGATAAATGTATGCATATATAATTCTTTTCGCCTTGAAGAGGAAGGGTAGGAAACAAATGTGGTAAATAAATGACTAAAGCAGAACATTGCCACAAAATGCTGGAAATAGAAACTGTTTCCCAAACCCTCATTTTTAAATAACCTATATTGATCAGTAGATTAGTGGAATATTGACCTGAAGATTAGAATTTATGATAAAAATAAATATATCCCATCACTTCTGAGCTCTAGACACCAAAAATGTAATAAAACTTATGTTTGTGATAATGGAGAATGGATAAAGATGCTGTATTTTCTCAACATCTTCTGCTACAGCTGTTATGTCAAGAAGCCAAGAAGGACCTGGAGAGATGGGAAAGGCAGTCCTAATTCCCAAGGATGATCAAGATAAAATGAAGGAATTGTTCAAAATCAACCAGTTTAACCTTATGGCAAGTGATATGATTGCCCTGAACAGAAGTTTGCCTGATGTAAGACTAGAGGGGTGAGTTTATGCATTTGCCTTAGCTTTCATATGTGTCCCATTGATATTTGTAATACTTGTAGAAAGCAGTTGTATTTGCATACCTTGTGCTGCTTTACACACCTGCATGCCTTGTCTCAGTTACCTTATTCTTCATTCAGCTAAATTGTAAAACACTTAATGAGGAAAAAAAGAACATTTCTTAGGTTTCACAAGTGACCGAGAAAAGATGGGAAAGTTACATCTAGTGCAAATTCTACCTTACTGTTGGTGTTTTCTGATCAGGATAGGAAATTTCATACAAAGACTGGATTTAAAAGTAACAACTTGGCAATCTGTATAAAAACGTCACATTTTCTTCTGGGCCTAGACATTACAATTCTTGATACACTTGGTGAAATTCCTATAGAGTATGAGTTTCAGTCACAATCCTAATACACATACAAATCCATTTTGCCCATAATGGGTCTTTCTTCTGAGGAAACACACACCAATGGTGAAATCTATTGTAAATGTTTTATATTGTATGAAAGCAGAGTGACTTCCTTGCTCAGGATGCATCATGGTAGGAAAAACTTGGCTTGGACTAGGTGAAGGGAGGAGAAGTGAAGACAAAAAACAATCTGGAGTTTCTGAGTAAGGACTGCAGGAGAGATGTGGTCGAAGGGAGCTTTGATAGATAGAGTGGAGGTGGCAGTATGCATGCTTGTTTGGAACAAGGTTGAGTACACAGTGGAGACCTGCAGACCTTGCTTGTTGTTTATCTGTTCCAGAATGCAAACTGCCTTTCCTCCTTTCTTTGCTTTTATCAGTTGATAAAAACAAGTTCAGTGAAACCACTTAGGGGTATACTTACTTTTGTTGCCAGCAGTTTAGATGTTAATGACTGTGTGTTGCATTATTTTGAGGGGACGACACATATACACTGTTATACAAGCTGTATACTCACTGCTTTACATTGTAGGCAAGTATCATTTCTTCAGTGTTGTCACATGAAAAGGTATAGTAAAATATTTATGAAATGTGAGGGGGTGTATTCACTTCTGTGATATAATGTATATATCTGCGGGCCACCTTGGTTGTCTGGAAGGCATAAGCGTTATACGACAGAACAAATTACCTTGAAGTTGATGAAGCAATACCTCAGATTGCCAAACTATGTAATTTATTCTCTGAAAGCATGATTTGTTGTTATAATTCTGTGACTTGTGTGATATACTGTAGGTCAGGGCAATTCCAGATGTTTTTGTGGATGCAATTTATCTCTTTTCATACCCCTTCAGCTGATTCCTACTTTGTCATTGGATAGGCTGGTGTTCTCTTGTTATTTATTTCTCCTTGCTTTTTAGATTTTTCAACTTCATTTAATAACGGAATACTTAATTTCAGAGGAGAAGAATAAAGAAGTTTTTAAACTCTCTGTACATCCCCTGCTGCTTGCAGGCTGGTACAGGATGTAGGCGGCAACATACGGGAAGTTGCCAAGCTTCTGTTGATATTATATCCCTGTCAGTCATCCATGGATGACGTTCCTGACTCCAGATGCCACTAGGCTTGCAATAAAAATGAGAGTGGCTCTTCATGACAGGCTGTGGGGGGAGGGGGGTACCCAAGGAAATGTCCCACTTGGCAGCTTTTCCTAAAGCAGATATGGCCTGGAATTCAGCCCACCGCAACCCACAGAATACTGATAATGACATAACTTTGACACGAGGCTAGATACGCTGCTTATTATCTAAATTGACTGTTCTTCAGCTTTAGTGTTTTTTTTAAAAAAACATGTAATACATTGTATTTTCGTTGGACTTCTGTACTCAGAAAAAAAAATCACAAATTAAATATTCTTTGGTTTAAGTAGAGAGGAACATTTGTATGCCCAGCCTTTGTATAGGTGTGAAGTCTTTGCAAAATGCAAAATGAGATTTCAGAACCTTACAGAACCATTCTGTGTCGGTCCCACACACTGTTGAGTCAGTTCAATAGTGAGTGTGTCAACTGCTTCTACTTAAATGTACCTCTGTGGGCAATGTGGTTTTCTCCCAGGTAAGTGAGTCTAAGATTGTAGCCTTATTTGCACGTTCTACAAAGGCTCTGGGGGAGATGTTACAGACATAAGGAAGAATATGTTACCAGACTTTCTCTTATCCTTCAGAGAAGTAATTGTCCTTCCCACAAGATTGTTGATATTTGTAAACTGAGGAGAAAATTATTTAGATTAGATTAGTAATCTTTAGACATTTCTCTATCAGATTCTTTCCTTGAGTTTGGAATTTTGAATTTAGAAAGCTTTGGAATCCATTGTTCTTGGGATGGAGGATAAAGAATGTGCACGCCTTCAGGAAGGCAGCATTTTAAAATACACGTAAAGCAGTAACAAACATTAAGTAAGAAGGGGTATTATAGGGGGACATGGGGGAGACAGGCACACCATGCATTTTAGCTACATTTTGCAGTTCACCTTGTCTTGTTGGAATAGGACTTGAGCAGAATGAGTACAACTGGAGAGATCTATTGATCTCTAAGCTGGCTGAACCCCATCCATCTCTCCGATTTACATCGCTGTGATCAGCTCTGTATGGTGTTAATTCATCACAGCAGACACTCTGTTTCAGTGTATTGGCATATATTCCCTACTTCTGTTTGTTGGTGGCTGAATTCTGAAATGAAGAAAGCCACAGTCAATATAAAGATTCTGAATTTCATGTTACCTTGCCTGCATTTGCAATACAGGACTGCTGTTTACCTCAGTCCATTGCTCAAATTGTAGGTGACTTCATGTGGTGCATTTAGACTTGGTCCTTGTCACCTGCAATATCTAGGAAAGCCTTCAGCTCGTTCAGTCTCCGCCCAGGGGGCATTAGGTGCCTGCTTTCATGCTGAAAATAGTCAGTTTCAGCAAATGAAGAATTAGCATCACAGCATGATGACAGATGAAGTAATCTGAGTTCATTTCTCTGTGTGTACATCAAAGACACTTGAGCTTATACAGGGGTGACTTGACCAGCTGGGGGAAGATCAGACCTATCTAAGAATGTTTTGACAGTGGAAGACAGCCTCTCTCTGGAGGACAGAAAAGCACCTGGATTTTAGACAGTGATATGTTGTTCCATATGTTACTTTTGTTTACCTTTTTGTGCCTCAGGTCTGGTCTCTGTACCAGTAAAGAAGCACACATCTTACCTTAGAAAGACTTCACATTTCTGAAATTGTTTTGACTATGTTGTGTCTGAGAAAGTTAGGTTGCAACTCTGTGCATGCTTAATTTGGGCACTGAACTCAGTGGGGCTCATTTTTCAGTAGAAGTTCTGCATTGTTAGTGTATCACATTTTTCAGAGCTTGGAAATTGGTGATTAAAAAGAGCAGGTTACTTAATTCTTTTAGTTTATCTTTGCCTGCTTAAAAAGAAACCTCAAGAATTTTTCTCCTCACTGCTATAGAGTGTTTTTTGGTCAATTTTTGTTTTAGCAAATTTTTTTGTGAAAAATTTTAATATATTTACAGGAATTTGCACATTTCTATAAATTTGCAAAAATTAAAGTGACACTAACTGCTGCTGTTTTGCATGGACTATTCAAAATGTGGACACATTGGAGGCATTGTGTCTTGCTGAGCAGTTAGTCTGTCCTTTCACTCCCTTTGTATGTCTTCTTAGTTTTACAAAAGGAAAAGAGACTAGAGATATTTTCTGGACAAAAAAATTGTACATGTTTCTGTCCTGGAGACAAGATCCCTCATACAGCCTTTTGACTCGTTGATGAGTTATTGTGAGACTGAAAATACATTACATTAGAATTGTAACTTAACCAAAACCCCTTCCTTTTGATTTGATATTAACTGATGATAATTGCTCTTCAAAAGAAACTTCTCAAGCTCTTAACTGGAATAGGTAAATTATTCAATAATGAAGGCCATATTTCACACTTTGGAGAGCTGTGCCGAATTTGCATATTTCCATTCTGTTTAAACTATATTTGAATTTATTCTAAACTGGATGACATCCAACTATAGGTAGTGTATTCATTCATATGTATGATGGTATTCTCAATCAGTCTTGTCTCAGCTGTTGAGAAATCTTGATAATGGCTGGTTGTGTTTCTATATTATACTTTTAAATACAAAAATCATACACTAGAGAACACTTTTTTTTCAGTGTTCATGTCTCAGTGTTTCACTGGAAACAGTAGTATTGTAGTCAAGGAAACCAATAAGGCAGAGAGAAGTCACGATTTAACATTACGTGTATTAACATGAAGAAGACAGAGGAAGGCAGTAGAGCATGGAGAAACAACCTGTTTTTAATGCTGGTTAAGCTGCCTAGGGCAGACAAGGCAAAACCAAAGGAAAAATAATGTTTCTGCCCAATATGCTGGCACAGACTAACTTGGTGACCTCTTCTAAAACTAGGGCAGGAAGTACAGTGTGATCTGTAATGATGCCATGAGTAACTCGGTGTCTTGAATTTGTCCATTGCAGATGGGTAAACATTTCATTTGAAAATCCACTTTTCTCTTACTCTTTCTGACTTAAAAGCAAAACAAGTTTCCCTGTAGTCTTGGAGGAAGTTACTAGAGATCCTCCTTGGCAGCAAAGTCCATCTTGTGAGCTGATTGTAATTCTGTTTTCTGACTTAATGGTGCAAAGGTGTTCAACCATGAAATTGCTTCCTTCATGTAGTGCAGTTCATTTTTGCATGGACATTCACAGCTTAGAAAACCTGATAGTGTCAGTGGATAAAACAGCTGAGCAACTGGTGGGTGCTAGGAATGGAGTTCAGTTTGTTATTTGCTTTTCCTCAACTTCACTTTCATTTTGGGGTCAGAAATGCAAAAATTATGGAGAGAAATGTGTAGTCTAATTGCTTAATGCTATTCAATAATGAAGTTATAAGGTGGTTCTCTAGCTAATTGTTGATTTAGAGAAATACACAACAGTGTCTGATAGCCTTGATTTTCTTACCTCAGCCACAGCAAAATCAGCCTAATTGTGCCTCCCAGTTGCCTCCCAGTTTCCCAGCAAAAGG